CATTAGGTGCCGCCCAGGACTCGGGGAGCACGTAAATTAGCCGCTCTATTTCCGCTTCGGCCGTGGCTTGATGTGCAGACTCTGGGCAGCTTGCAAGCTCGGCCAACCTATGGGTACGCACACAGTGAAAGCAGGTTGCCAGCTAGCGTGCTGGTTACCTGCTCAGGCTGGCGCATGAAACCATAGAATATAGAAGCCTATTCGTACAGGTTTTCACTGTGCACACTTACATTATTATCCTATGTTCTTTCTTGTGACTGGTTGCCCGCGCGGGCAAACCTGCTTCCACTGTGTGCGTACCCCATGTCATGCTCTCAGGCAAGTATAGAGTCAGAATAGAGATGCTTAATAGAAGCTGATTTCGTTCAGGTGGATTACCACAGACACAGAACAACTTTAAGCCGTGTGTACTGTGTAGCGACTTCGTGTTGAAGCCTAGGCGGTATGCAAATTTTGTTACGGTGAAGTGTTGTTTGCGTGAGTGTTCACCGGCGTTCTTAACCACGATTCTGATTCTGTATTTGCGATACATCTATGAATCCAACTTCAGTACCTATTGCAATACTTCAATAAATTCAAATTCACTGCTGCAGTGCTCAAATAAGCTTCAAATCACCGACGTGTGGAACAGCCTCCCCGATGACATCGTTGGCGCTCCAAGTATGAACGCGTTCAAGAATAGACTAGATAAAGCTATGAAAAATATATGTTCAGACTTAAAATGCCTATCACCATATCGAACCAGGTGGAACTCTAGTAGCTATTTCAACCCATCGTCAGTTAGGAAAAGATCCGGTCAAAGGACCTGTTTTTAGATCTCCTATGGAGACGTCACGAAAAGGAAAAGAATCGGTGACAGGCCACATCAGGCCTATTTTTCAGCGCAGACTTCACTTTTCTATGAAAGACAATGACTTCTTCACTATTCTATGCTAATACTCTACGTCGGTGAAAGTCGTTGCAGCTGCTGCCGGCGTTCGTCACCTTGGCGACCGGCGGCAAGACGCTATGAAAATGCGTCGCCGTAACGACGACGCCGCGTCGATGCCGCGCCGGTGAATAATTGTGCGGCTTTCGATTTCCGATTCCAGGCAATACGATTCAACCTAATTTAAACGGCCTATAACGGTGGTAGGCTGTCCAGAGGGAGGGTTGTCCAGAGGGAGGGTTATCCATAGTTAGGGTTGTCCAAGAGTGTTGTCCAGAGGGATGGTTGTCCAGAGGGATGGTTGTCCAGAGGGAGGGTTGTCCAGAGGGAGGGTTGTCCAGAGGGAGGGTTGTCCAGAGGGAGGGTTGTCCAGAGGGAGGGTTGTCCAGAGGGAGGGTTGTCCAGAGATAGGATCGTCCAGAGATAGGATCGTCCAGAGGGAGAGTTGTCCATAGTTAGGGTTGTCCAGGAGTGTTGTCCAGAGGGATGGTTGTCCAGAGGGAGGGTTGTCCAGAGGGAGGGTTGTTCAGAGGGAGGGTTGTAAGTCTCAGGGCTGATCTCAGGGACATCTTTTTATAGTTTCCCGGCAACAGGTATGGGCGGCAACAGGTGTGTTTCCCCGCTGTTGTTGTCGCTGCCGTTGTTACCTCTCCTGTTGCTGCTGTAATGGTCCTATCGATCCCGTGCAACAGGATCAGGATGTGTCACTGTTATTGCTAACATGCAACATGTGCTGTTGTTATAACAGTTTTACCCTTAATCTTTCATCTGTTAAGACCATTTTTGTGAAATAACTGTAATGTTGGTAGTTTTGTATTGATGTCGTTGATGTGTACTGTAAGTCAGGTTGCTAATAGAACCCCGACGATTACTAACATAACCAGCTGCATATATTAAATTAATTACGGACAATTAAACTACGCGTGTTATAGGCTCAAAGAACGAGTTATCCAGTCGATCGAGACGATAGAATTTAATAAGACAGGGTAACTTAATTAAATTAATTTATTAACTAATTAGGGTTTAACTCAAAATTGTCTTTTAATTTTCTATTCCAAAGCACCATCACACTAATATTAAAATTTATGTAAAATGAGCATATTCAATCGGAAATATAATCCATGTTCATGATTTAATGGTCCTTGAAATTATTGCAAATGTGCGCTGTGATCCTGAGAAGCTTAGACGTGACCTCAGATCTCGTGTTGGTGACTCATACAAAAATACACACACACGCTCATACATATCTCGTGTTGGTGACTTACAAAAAACATACACACGCTCATCTCATACAGCTCTCGTGTTGGTGGTTCATACAAAGCATCAGCTTGTGTTTGGTTGTCGCTTGTTATTTATTAAGGCGGTACGAGAATGATCTATTGCTCATGTGGCTGTGTGGCGTGTGTGTGTTGCTGTGTGACGTGTGTGTGTTGCTGTGTGGCGTGTGTGTGTTGCTGTGTGGCGTGTGTGAGTGTAACATGCGTGGCTGTGTGGCGTGTGTAACATGCGTGGCTGTGTGGCGTGTGTAACATGCGTGGCTGTGTGGCGTGTGTGTTGTATGGTTGCCATGGCAACGCTGGTAAGCATAGCGTCGCACTTGACTTATAAGTGCCGCACTTCTGTGCGTACGTCGTGTGCGTACGTCGTGTGCGTACGTCGTGTACGTGCGTCGTGTACGTGCGTCGTGTGCTTGTGTTGTGTGCGTGTGTTGTGTGCGTGGATAGCGTACGTATTAACCATCATGCTCATGCGTGTAGGCGTACAGTGCAGACAGTGTTAGGCGCATCGTGCATATTATACTGCACTGCCTGTCTCTTAACCAGGCAAGCTTTATTTATTTATTCTCCTACATACTTCTCTTCACTATAATTTTTGGCAACACATATTACTCAATTCTGATTATTTGCAATAAATCCTACTCTTCTATTTCAATAAACGGAAAGTATATTTTCTTGCATTGGAGTAAATGTTTTTCAAACAAGTGTCAGGTTATTAAGCAGGGCCAATATTTATTTATATTGAATAATATTGTATGATATTGTTACCAATCACACGCAGCCAATATTTACTTATATTAACTAATATTATATAATATTGTTGCCAATGACACGGAGCCAATATATACTTATATTAACTAATATTATATAATATTGTTGCCAATGACACAGAGCCAATATTGGTGACATTATAGCGTGTTACGTGACCTGCGTGCGAGGTATGAGATCGCGCTGCTGCAGCGTTTATTATACATGTCCATACAAGCACCTGTATATTCAGTATGATTATGTGTGAATACAAGCATCTGTATATTCAGGATTGTAAAAATATGTGTGAAAATATGTGTAAAAATATATATTCATGTGCAGAGGAATTGTAAGAATATGTGTGAATACATGAATCTGTACATTATTATGCAAAAGAATCTGAAGAATATGTGCCAATACATAAATCTGTATATTCATGCAAAAAGAATTGGAAGCTCATATGCGAATACAGGAATATATATATTTATAGGCAAAGCATTAGAATATATGAATTGAATTTTCTAGTGAATTCTCAGAAAGCAGTAAATTTTAGAATTTTTTAGATTTTAGCAAATTTTAGAGTAAAAAAATTCTTTTTAGAGTAAATTTTATTTAGAATTTTTTTGGTAAATTTAGGCCACCTTATGTAGGTGGATCATAAGCAGAAGAGGCTGTATCTTGTAAAATAATACATTAATTTTTCAACAATTTTGTTCTTTGAGTAACGTGCTATTTTCGCTGGACCAGACGACTTGTGTAGGTAATGGTTTATTTTTGATGAAATAAATAACCTGAAATATGCTGCCGAAATAAAATAAGATGACACCAATTAGAAGACATCTGAAGCATATGCTGCCTTATTTAAAGACTTTAAAACTGCACGTTAAAGACTTTAAAACGCTGGTCTTTTGTAGGTCTAAAAGTAAGTACACATCGCAGCCTAGAGTGTGTTGAACTTTCACACAGGGTTGCGTACATACAAGAGGGTTACGTGCACACATGGTTACGTACATACAGGAGGGTTACGTGCACACAGGGTTGCGTACATACAAGAGGGTTACGTGCACACATGGTTACGTACATACAGGAGGGTTACGTGCACACANTTCCCTCACTCCCTCCCTTCTTCCTTCTCTCACTCCCTTCACTCATCCTCCCCTCTCTCTTCTCACTTCCCTCTCTCCTTTCCTTCAGCTCACTCCCCACTCCTTCCTTATTCCCCTCACTCCCCTCACTCCCCTCACTCCCCTCGCTTCCCTCACTCCCCTCACTCCCCTCGCTTCCCTCACTCCCCTCACTCCCCTCACTCCCCTCGCTCCCCTCGCCCTAAGATGGTAATCATGAGCCAAGCGAGAGATCAATTGTCGAGCGGCGGTGGTGGTGAGGTGGTGGTGGTGGTGGTGGTGGTGAAGCGGTGATGGTGGTGGTGGTGAAGCGGTGGTGGCGGAAGTGAGGTGGTGGTGATGGGGCGATGTTATGATGGTAAGGAGGTGGTGGTGGTGATGGGTGCTGGTGGTGATGGTTAGGTAGTGAGATGGTGGTTATGGGGTGGTGGCGATGGAAGTGAGGTGATGTGTCGATGGTGAAGTGATGATGTGACGGTAAGTTGATGTAGTAGTGGTGATGAGGTGATTTGGCGGTGGTGATGGTGATGGGGTGAGGTGATGTGTCGGTGGTGGTGATGCAGTGTTATGTTGGTAGTGTTGTGAGAGTGATGATGTGGTGAATGGGCAGGAATAATGATGACAGTGTGGCCAACTAATCACAAGGCCGGGCGGCCTTGTAACGGAAAATAATGGATTCACTTTTCAATAATAATTAATGAATAATTTAATTTTTTAACTTATACGTGTAGTCATTTCTGAATTTTTTAGTAGATATAGATTTTCGCAGCAAAAACCTCAAATGCATGGCTTGTTCGATACATTTATTTCAATAATACATTCGTAATGATTTTATCGATAAATTAATGCAAAATTTTGCTTTTTCCTCTTCCAGACCACGACTGCATCACTCGTCGGTAGGCAATTCATCAGTTCACTCTAAATCCTTCCCCTGGGGTAAAAACATCACAAGTTACCCTAATCCCAAGACAAGTTACCCCATTTTCCAGGCGAGTTACCCTGAAACCGATGGAAACAATCAAATCTGTTCTTATCAGGTGAAAGATAACGGAAATACTTCAGATTATGCGTCTATCTACAGTCTCTTCAACAGCTGCGTGACGAGTGATGTTACAGTTATCAAAGTTTGACGTTACAGTGTTTAAAGTTAGACGTTAGTGCGATAAAAGTGAGACGTTACAGAGATTACATTTTGAAGTTATAGTAATGAAAGTGTGACAAGAGTCGTCAAGTAAACAAATGTCGATTACTTAAATAACATCAATGCCAACGTCAAGACAATATGAGTGATAAGTGCATGAATGACATCAGCAATAACTGTATAAATAACGAATACATGAGCATCAACCACTCCAACAATATTAGTCACAATATCAACATGATATCATGTGACGAAATCTATAGAAAGAACAGCACCGTCAGCGATGACATCATCATGAGTAACAACAACAATAACAACATCGGCATTAGTAACAACAACGTCAGTGTGAGTGACAACGATATGAAAAATAAAAGCAGCCTCATTGATCATAGCAGCATTTGTCAGAGCAAGAGCAGCACAATTAAACGCATCAGCATGAGTGAAAGTAACGTCGCGAGTGAAAGCAACATCAGCACGAATAAGAGCAACATCAGCATGATCAAGAGCAATACCAGCACGAACAAGAGCAGCATCAGCACGAATAAGAGCAACACCAGCACGAATAAGAGCAACATCAGCACGAATAAGAGCAACATCAGCACGAATAAGAGCCTGATCACAATGGACGTTGCCAGAAGTTCAACCACCAAAACCTACGGCAAGCAGACTTCTCCCAAATCTGCGTCTGCCACTAGTCCAGTTATCAGTGGCAATTGGGCCAGTGCTGTTAACTGCTCCACGACAATCTCCTCAACCGATAACAGCCTACATAACATCTCAGAAAAAGCTCAGGAGTTATCAGTCCCTTCAGAGCACCACAATAACGGCGTTAAGATTGAGAGGAGGTCGCCTAAACCATCCTCCGAAAGCTCGTCATCCTGTTTATCTCATTGGGAAGCAACAGGTGCTACCGTCACAGCTACCATTAAAACTGAAGTTGAAACCAATGATATCGTAGGTATTAGTGCTACTGCAGCTGGTACGGATGATACCATTGCAGGTATCAGCCGAGCTTATCAAGCGCCGATGGTTAGAGTGCGAACATACGCGATAAAACCCGACCTTGTTAGCAATCTGCCGATGATACGAGCCAGCGTCGTCAGAACAACCAATCCTTTAAGAACAGGTCCTGTCTTCAGTAGTAAGCTGATAAGAACAAGTCCTGACAAAACTAGTCAGTCTATACGAACAGTTGCTGTCAGCAATAGTCAGCTGGTAAGGGCTGCTGGTGTCAGCGAAGAGACACATAAGCCTTTGATATTGTCCACGCTGCCTTCTATCTCAACGACAGCTGCTGGTGTCAGCGAAGAGACACATAAGCCTTTGATATTGTCCACGCTGCCTTCTATCTCAACGACAGTCAAGATGTCGCATGCTAACCGTTTAAACGAGGAATCTTGCTCAAAGGTTCTATCCGTTACAGCGGGTGAGACTACTTTCCCTTCCTGTGTAACGGTGCCAGGGGCAACCGTTACCACGGCCTTATATGAAACCGGATCCAATACAGCCATTGTAGATGATGGCTCTGGCACGACGATGCTGGTGGCAGGGGCGGAAGTGGTGCGATCTTCCGTAGTGTCGTACGCGACACCCATCCTCCGCCACGTCTGCCTGCACACTGAGCCTCCAGCAGTGACGCTGGCCCAGCGGGTGAGTCCTTTAGGTGCTTATACACGTGGCTATTAGTTGCGTATATTGGTTACGTCTACCAGGCCAGGCTACAAAAATTTGTGATGCTTGACGTGTTCAGAGGCATACTAGCTGGTTCATTGCAGGCAAGGCAACTAGAGTTGTTTTGAAGCAGACTTTTAGGTGCTTATACACAGGGCTATTAGCTGTGTATATTGGTTGCGTATACTACAGTTTTGCAGGTTGAGTGCCTGTACACGAGTATAGCGTTTTCGGTACACTGCGCCCGCGTCAGTGCGACGTTGGGAGTTGTCGAGTAAGGGTGTGCACGGTGGAGGCATGCGAGAGCAAGACCGCAGTGCGCGCTATAGTTGGCGAGAGAGAGAGCGACGCACCTGTACTCTGTATGACGGCCGGACGGCTACTGAGCGCAATAGACTTTGCTGCAGTTGATTCAGTGACTTGATGGCTGAATGAATGCGTATTAATGGCGCAGTTGTACAGGAATTAATACATGCGTATGTGCAATAACAGGTATATAATTGTGTGTATATTCTTCATTACCTCCAATTATTGGCTACCGTGAAGTTAGTTTTCCACGCCTGAAATAGTTCGCGAATTAGTACAGTTTACGAAGTTTAAATCAAAGCTAAATATTTGCCGGGGTTTCTCCTCTGGTGGTCATACCATTGTTTCTCCCATGCAGGCAACAAGTAGGCGCGACACTCACGCTCCTTCAACCCGAGATTCTCCATCGATTTGTGTGAAAGATGAACATCTGTCAACCTCTCGGTCAAGTGACAGTAGCTCTCCAGAGCGGTCGAAAGATAACAATTTTCCACTGCAATCAACTGACAAATTGTCATTGCAGTCGAAAGACAACAAATTGCCGCGATTATCAAACGACAATTTGCCTCCTACCCACTGGAATGACAGTAACAACAATAGCGAGACGGGCAACGAGCCACTGAGAGCAGCAGAACTCAGTGGAGGCCAGCGGCCAAATCGACGTTCGTCCGACTCGGGGGCGGCGCCCGACGTGCCACGTCCCGACTCGCGGACGGTGCCCGACGTGCCACGTCCCGACTCGCGGACGGTGCCCGACGTGCCACGTCCCGACGACGAGCTGACGTCCCTGTCGTGGCTACAGGACTGCAATCTCCTCAGAGGTGAGTACCATTTATTTAAGTTACTCCTCACAAAACAGGGGAGTACAAATGTTCTATCACTTATATTATACACCATAATTACATTGAGCTTTTAATGCAGGACGTATCGTGCGAGTGCTTAGGTTAATTGTGAATTTCTCATGTTAATTGTTAGTTGCTGGCCACGGAGAAGACGATGCCGGAAATTGCATCGCAAAACACTAATTGCTTCACAAAACGCTAATTGCATCGCAGAGCGCTAATTTCATCGCAAAACGCTAATTGCATCACAAAACGCTAATTGCATCGCAAAACGCTAATTGCATCGCAAAACGCTAATTGCATCACAAAACGCTAATTGCATCGCAAAACGCTAATTGCATCGCAAAACGCTAATTGCATCACAAAACGCTAACTGCATCACAAAACGCTAATTGCATCGCAAAACGCTAATTGCATCGCAAAACGCTAATAAATTGCATCACAAAACGCTAATTGCATCACAAAACGCTAATAGCATCGCAGAACGCTAATTGCATCACAAAACGCTAATTGCATCGCAGAACGCTAATTGCATCACAAAACGCTAATTGCATCGCAGAACGCTAATTGCATCACAAAACGCTAAAATTGCATCGAAAAACGCTAACTGCATCGCAGAACGCTAATTACATCACCAAACGCTACTTGCATTACAAAACGCTATTTGCATCACAAAACGCTACTTGCATTACAAAACGCTAATTGCATCACAAAACACTAATTGCATCACAAAACGCTAATTGCGTCACAAAACGCTAATTGCATCATAAAATGCTAATTGCATGTGGGATGTGTTAAACAGTAGCAAAGTGCGCACTGCACCGCTGAGTGCTGACACCAAAGCTATTATTCCTACAAATGTGAGAGAACTGTAAGGCAACAAAAGGCTTTGAAGAAAAGACGTGACGCATTTGAATGCTCGCCCTCGTGTGCGAAAAATGTGTTTTTCGAGTAGAAAAATCACCGCAGACCTAAATTACGCGCGCTATTTACAGATACGTGAGAAAGAACTACCGCGATGAAGAGGCGGCAAACTCCTTTCTCTTCTGGAGCGATATTCGAGTGCAGAATATCTGTGGATTCTCTTGCGCATCTTGCGTTAAATTCTACTTGCAAAAAAAGTATTTTTTTTTTGGCCTGAGGAGGCGGGAAAAGAGAGGGACGGAGATTGAGGGGATGAAATTTCTTAAAAATTTGCAAGGATACAAAAAGAATTGGATCTATCACACAAAATTCTCTTAAGAATTCATATTTACGCCAAGTGTGGAAATGATTGTAGCCCAAACACTTGCTTTATTTGAGGTAATTTGCCTGTTCAGATGTGTTCAATCGCGTTCACGTGTACTGTTCAAACGTGTCCAGCATACAAATGTCCGACGTACTAGTGTCCGGCGTACAAGTGACCGGCGTACAAGTGTCCGGCGTATACGTGTCTGGCGTACAAATGTCCGGCGTACAAATGTCCGGCGTACAAGTGTCCGGCGTACACGTGTCTGGCGTACAAGTGTCCGGCGTACAAGTGTCCGGCGTACAAGTGTCTGGCGTACAAGTGTCCGGCGTACAAGTGTCCGGCGTACAAGTGTCCGGCGTACAAGTGTCAACGCACGCTTGTTGAGGTCAACGAACTCCGCGCGTTCACAGCCGTGCAACGGAACGCTTGCGGGTGTACAACTTACGCTTCGAATTCTGGAGCAAGAAAGCTTGTTGCCTCGTTGACGTTTTCTCGCGAAACTTCATTGAACGTCGACGTTTTTGCGCGAAAACTTAATCCACGTAATCTTCCAACTAGTGACTTGGCTGCATGAATCTGTTCATCTTGTAAATTTGTTACACGTCTTCATATTCAAGGAGAAACTGGCTGCTAGTCTAAGCTTCATCTAGAAAAGTTGCTGCTTGTCTACATTTCGTCGAGAAACTAGCTTTGCGTTGCTGCGTTTTTGATTGACCTCAACATTAACGCTAGTTTAATCCATCGTAATCCGCTTACTCCGTACGGCAGATTTTCTAATTACAGAGGACCTGTGGCTGCTGCAGGTCCTCTCAGCCGCAGCTGCTGCAGGTCCTCTCAGCCGCAGCTGCTGCAGGTCCTCTCAGCCGCGGCTGCTGCAGGTCCTCTCAGCCGCAGCTGCTGCAGGAGCGGCTGCTGCAGGTCCTCTCAGCTGCGGCTGCTGCAGGTCCTCTCAGCCGCGGCTGCTGCAGGTCCTCTCACCAACCCCAATTACCTACGCGCGATGCAACAGGTTATCTCATGCACACCTCTTCCGTCCTCGCCTCCCTCTTCTTTGACGATCGATGAGATGGAGAACAAGTTGCCTCTCTTGTAGATAAAAGTATGAAGATACTTATTTTCAATGCTAATACTATGTGGATGTAATGAGAATAAGGATAAATTACGGTTATGTGATAATATAGTGGACGAATTATGTCGTTCATTGTAATTGCGAACAGGCAATGCAGGCATGCCCGGTTGTACAGCTTTGTAGATACGGATTTTATTGACATCTATTAAGCATGCTTGAAAAGTACAGACATTAATACTTGAATAGCGCGTTTTTAATTCGAAAGAGAACATAGTTTTGCACGTGCATTGTGATAAATTTTTTGCTTAAATGTAGTTCTTATTGCATCATAATGAACGCAATTAGCACGGACTGAAGCTTCACGTTTATAATTGCTTAGGAAGTGCGGTAGCGCAGCACACATGTCCTACTCAGAATAATGAGATAGATTTTGTCCTAATGTCGATGTACTTTTTGCCTTTTTGTGGGCCATTCTGGTCCAGTTTGGCGCGGCAGAAGGGCGTATCAGTGTTGCGTCAGCTCTTTGTCTGTACTGTGGGTAACAAAAGTGTCACTATTTGGGCAAGATGCCCATTTATTTTTTGGAGTGTGGCCTTCGTTCGATGGCCACCGATATGTCGCCTATCAGGAGTTTCGTAGCGATATGAACGTAAGGCTATATATTGCATATGCGTTCATTCTGTCTCGCTTGTATCAGCCCAATTAATGTTTTCAAATGAAATTCAAAATAAATATTGCCGATTTCTGAGGGTAGGAAACAGCCAAACTTTGATCGCGTTCGTGAAATGGTCGATCGGGCCCATGGTTAGAAAGTTTACCGCGCTATAAATGGCATCAGGTTAATGAATAATGTGATGGAAATTAGTAAATTATCATCCCAACTCGTCTCCTTGACTCATGTATTCCGGCGATAAATGGATCAGGTGGTGCTCATGTGCAAAGAATTTCATTTTTTTTATATAATAAATCAGAATTTCATTATTTGGGCTGGCTGTGAAGGGTACAGTGCAGGAGGTCGCGTGACTGTGAAGGGTCCAGTGCAGAAGGCCGCGTGACTGTGAAGGGTCCAGTGCAGGAGGCCGCGTGACTGTGAAGGGTCCAGTGCAGGAGGTCGCGTGACTGTGAAGGGTCCAGTGCCTGTCTCTTATACACATCTAGATGTGTATAAGAGACAGGATCATAGCAGCATTTGTCAGAGCAAGAGCAGCACAATTA